AGCTCGCGACCAGAATCGTGGAACGAATTAAGTTCGTGAACCGAGGTACCACTGTATAGGTTTAATTATGAGTGAATGGGCTAGAACGAATTTCAGAAAGTATGAACTGATGTCATCTGAGTTGTTGTGGATCTGTAGGAAAGTAGGAAATTATAGGTAGGTGATAGTTGCATATTACCTCCAGTGATGGGTGATAATGAAAGAATCTGATATGTTTTTTAAAAAAACAAAAAACCTGTGCAACATTTGAATGAATGCAATCCAGTGGGAAAAATATTGTGCTAGAAGTCTTGAATGGATGGGTGGAAATGAGATGAGAGAGTACAGAAAAAATTATTGGGCCATTTGGAGACACAAGAATGAAAGAGAATAAGTATCTACTTAGAAAAATGTCTGTTTATTCCAAATACATTGAATCATGGAATCATAGGGTTGGAAGGGACCTTGGAGGTAATAGATTTAGATCTATTCATATGTACACATGGCAAAGTAATGGACATAAATCTGAAAGCATTATTTGATAATTTATTAGGAAAGGTTGAGGTACTTATTGAAGCACAGAGGATTAAGGAAAGGTTCTAAATAAAACAGACCATTTTTTGGAAGTGTGAAGAGTGGATCTTGGGAAAAAAAGTAACATGGAAGAAACAGAAAGAAGTAAAAGAAGCTACAGTGGAAGTAGAACAACTGCAGGATGAGAAAGCATGAGTAGTGTATGAACAATTAAAAGATAGATTAATCTCCCAGTATAATGAACGGAAAGTAGACATAAGGAATGTGGAAGCAACTTGGAAGAGGGTGAAAAGAATTATATAATGCTACAGAAGTGTGTGAATTTGACTAATGGAGTATGAAAAGGATGTTTTGTGGAATGATGAAGTGAAAGAAGCTGTGGATTTTTTAAAAAAAATGCAAATAAGAGAATGATTGCTGCAGAAATGAAGATGAGAGAACGATGTACATAAATATGTAAGGAATGCTTAAGGTGCTTGATAGTAGAGATGTCTGAGTTGGGAATACATGTATACTTTTACATGCACATGATGCCATGTTACTGGCAGAGAAGCCAAATGATTTGCAGTGAAACTTAAATTGTATAATGTAGTGAGGTATATGGCTCTAAAAATTAACACATCAAAGATTAAGGTAGTTGTGTCACAGGGAAAATAGAATGAATGATTGCAGTAGTGGAGAGTAAGTGGTCTGCTACGAGGAATAAATGTTTTTAAAAAGTGAGAATGTATTTAATTTATTAGGTTGGTATCCTGCTGTTCATTCAGGAACTCAAAACAGCATACAAGGTTGTGTATAAAATGTATTTCTGCCCATTTTGTTATATGGAAGTAAGAGTTGCCAGGAGATTCATAAGTTGAATGCAGTGGGAATGGAATACTTCAAAATGGTGTGTGGTAAAACATAGAGATAGGG